TATTTCACTGCTCTAATCAACTGTCAACCTTTACTTCCTTTACAAAGATTTGTTTTCAATTATATGTGTAAGCTAGGCCACTGGAGGTTACTTGTCCAAGGTCACCAACAGGCAGGAAGTTACAGAGATGCAACTGGAACACAGATAAGCCTGTGACTAGAACTTGGGCTCTAAACCACTCCTTTGAACTGCTTTTCAAAAATGAAGCAAAGGCCATTCCATGGGGGAACTGTACCCACCACCTTGATATTAATAATGACATCTTCAGATGCAGGGGTCAGCAAACTATGACCCAGGGGCCAAATCCAGCCCATTGCCTGTTTTCATAAATAAAGTTTTATTGGGAGCCAGTCCATTTACATAGTGTCTATAGCTGCTTTAATGCCATTGTAATGGCAGAGTCGAATCACTGCGACAGAAGCAATGTGGTCTACAAAGCCTAATTTTTTTTACTATCTAACCCTTCACAGAAAAAAATTTGCCAATCTCTGTTCTAACCAAATGTCCTTTAGGTTCAACATTTGCAAATCTGAGGATAACTAACTCATCTATTTGTAATGAGAATTAAGGAGAACAGCATGTCTGGAATAATCTAATGATAGTAGGCACCCCAAAATGTCAGCTGCAGTCTAGTTCAGGCACTCCATTACAGTGTTCATTTAGGAAATAAAATCCCATCCCTACTCTACCCCAGCATCATATCATTCCTTTCTTGGAGGTTGTTTGCTCCCGCCACATGTACCCCATCTCTCAACACTACACAGAAGAGGCAAATGTCTCCTGTTACAATCAACTTCAAAGCCTATGCCATGAGTTGTTTATTTCTGTTAACAGCTCCACCATTCTCCCTTTACCCAGGCTTGGATCTTGGAAATCAACCTGCTATGTCTCAAATCTCTTGCTCATTTGTGAAGTCCTATTTATTCAACCTAAACAACAGCTTACAAGTTATCCCTCGTCTACATTTCCACTGCCTAATCCTTTCCAGTTCCCACACCTCTCACTATATCATCCCAGGAGCATCACAATTCATTTCCCAAGTCAACATTTATAAAGTGGTCTGCATATAAGTGTCAGACATGGCAAAATCATTCTTAAACAAACAAATATCTCCTTTTAAGACTACCCAATATCGTGTCATTACTCACTGAGTTAAGTCCTCGGCTTTGCGTTCGAGTTGATTCCACATGACTCCAAACTACACCTGCAAACTAACTTCACACTACATTTCCTGGGTACTTGCTATGCTCCATATACTATGTTAAGCACTGGAAATAAAAGGGGGAGAAACTCAACTCCTGTCCTCAAGAAGCTCAACAAACAAACAAAAAAATACCACACACAAAGTGAAGCGTTTTAGGAAAGGTCTGAACAGAAAGGTGTGAGCCCAGAGAGAATGCAAGAACTATTTCTGCCACAGTGGGCAGAAGGGATGAGGGTTGAGGCTGACTTCACCATTCTCAAAGAGGAGAGACATTAAAGAAGAAAACTGGGGAGGGGAAAAGAAAGACACAAAAAGAGGATGTAGGATCTTTATCATTTCTCAACTTTTTTCCTCCAAAGCAGTGCTTTTAATCCAGAGGCAATTATGCCCCCCAGCAAGCATTTGTCAATGTCTAAAAACCTTTTTGACTGTCATGCTTAGGGGAGAGGGGGTGCTATTTGCATGCAGTGGGTAAAGGAAAAATGCTTCTCTGACATCCTACAATACAAAGGACAGTCCCCCGCAGCAAAAAATTATCCAGCCCAAAAGGTCAATAGTGCTGGGGTTGAGCAACCCTAGCCTAGAGCCACAAGAAACAGGAGGAAAGGAGGGGGTGGAAGTTGAGATAATTTCAAGATGTCTGAAAATACAGAGATGGCAAGGAAGGAGAATGAATTATGCTGGGACCAACTTGCCCACCAAAACCAAACGGAGAGAATGCAAAACTGAACAGAGGGCAAAGTACCTAATAAACACTCTACATCTAGAGTCTCATGAACAGGGAGAGATTTGACTGTCAAGTCAAAACAATCAACTGTGAGAGGAATGAAGAAGAGGTGGGCAAAGAGGCTGAAGCAGAGGCTATCAGCACTTTCTGTTACACCTGATCCAATTCAACAAATATTTATTGCACAGCTGCTACGAGATGTCATGGGGAAAACACAGAGATGAGATAAATAAGTCATAATCCCTGTCTGCAAGAAGACTGGATTTCATAGAGTCACAGATGTATAAAACAAACTTACAGTTACCAAGGAGGAAAGGACGGGGGGGCGGGGGTGGATAAATTGGGAGACTGGGATTGACATATATACACTACACTATATAAAATAGATAACTAATAAGAACCTACTGTATAGCACAGGGAACTCTACTCAATACTCTGTAATGACCTATGTGGGAAAAGAATCCAAAAAAAGAGTGTAGGGCTTCCCTGGTGGTGCAGTGGTTGAGAGTCTGCTTGCCAATGCAGGGTTCGTGCGCCGGTCCAGGAGGAACCCACATGCCGTGGAGCGGCTGGGCCCGTGAGCCGTGGCCGCTGAGCCTGCGCGTCCGGAGCCTGTGCTCCACAATGGGAGAGGCCACAACAGTGAGAGGCCCGCGTACCACAAAAAAATTAAAAAAGAGTGTATATATGTATAAATGATTCACTTTGCTGTACACCTGAAACTAACACAACATTGTAAATCAACTATACTCCAATAAAAATTAATTAAAAGAAAAAGAAGACTGGATTTCAGCAGGGAGAATTAGGTAAGTATATATGTTATTATAATACAAGGAGAAATATAAGACACATGTCAAAAGTGGAGTACACAGGGTTTTGAGTACACACACCTTCCAAAGATTAGATGCAATAATAAAGGATAATTCTACTTAACACCTTCTTGCTCTCCCAGTGAAAGAAAAAAAAATAATCACAGGACAGTAAATTACCTTTGCTTGTAAAGCTGTATATGTCTGGCATAGTTAACCTAATTAACAATGTAAAATATTTGTTACTTCCAAATAGCCCAGTTGCTAACACTACTATAACAAAGGAAAACAAGGATACTTTATATAGAGTATTCCCATAGAGGTTTCACTTTCCGTTAAGAGACCCATGAAAAAAAATCAGATCCAATACCCTAGAGTAAGTCCTGTACCACAGAGAGGCTCTTAGTTATGTTTTGGTTACTTTTTTTTTAACTTTGCGTGGGCTTCATTTCTCTTGAGGTTAGAAAGCCATCCAGAGGATGGCTCTTTAAATATTCCCCTCAGAAGGAGACTCTAAGTCAACATGAGAAAATAGTTAGAGAAATCCCTAATGGTCCAGCCAACATACATTTTTCATAAAGTGATTATCCTCCTGCAGCCTCAGCTTCCTAAGCCTTTTCCCCTCCTATAATTGTTTTCCTTGTAGGCCAGGCAACAATTACCACTGCTACAAGACTGAGGAGGTTCACGAGCAATATATTTTACAATACATAAGTGTACTGTCCCTGATATCTGGTGCTTTTATCACTAATTGCACTATAAAATGTGCTATTAAAACAGGGACAAACAAGATTGTAAAAATCACATAATGGACCATGACCACTTACAAAAGCCATTCATAAATGTTACTGCATCATTTATTTTTCTTTAATTTTCTAGTTATATAATTATTTTTCCAAATTTTTACTTCTAGGGGATACCAACAAGAAAAAGAATAAATTTGCGTATTATAAAACATACATGCTTGCGCTTGAATGTATTGTTTTGTAAGTCTGCTCAGTATTAAAATTATACAGAACATCAGACAATGTGCTATGAACACTGAATTCCTAGGGAACATCCACATGACCTCTTCAAAGAAATTATAGGCATGGCAAATGCATTTAAGCCTGATTTCTATTCAAACTTCAGAGCGTGGAACAGAAAGCATGAAAAATATCACAGAAGGATTTCACAGTTCTAATCTATGAAAATACAATATAACAAAGCCAATAAAACATTAATATTTTGGGGAAAGACAGAATGATCAAATATTACTGCCAATTACTGGAGGATATGGGTCAGTGGAGCTGCCTATAGTATTTCCTATGTCATTAGCACTCACTAATTCATGGGCAAATTTTCAAGTTTGTAGATGACCCTTTCAACCTCTTTGTTACTTATTCCACATCTCATCATCTAAAAACTAGGAATCAGGAATAAGAGAGAATGAAAATAAAGATATTTGGTTACCCATTCATAATTCTAATGAATTCTAAGAAGGAAGTAGGAATTTTAAGTAGTGATTCAGATAAAATACTGGGATCGTCTCTAGGATTCATTTATCCATTACCAGAGACAAACTAGTTCGAATAATACCACAGAACACAAATACCACAAACAAAATAGCGACCAGTCTCTACAAAACTAAACACAAGTAGCCGATTAACAAACTGGGGTTGACTGTTCTTCTTTTAGTAGGAAAATCTGTTAACTGAAGAAGTAACTGATGCATTGATTTTAGGTGTCAGTAAGGAAAGTGTGATTGAGCTTCGGTCTTGCAGAAAAATGCCAGCACGTGTGCAACCTCACCATACTTACTCTCACATATTTTCTTAAATCTTTAAATGGCCTAACCTTAATAAAATCAGAACCTACTTTTAAAATAAAAGATAAGTCACAATTAGAAACATCCGAATTATGCCTAAATTGTTACTTTTTCCTCCTGAAGATATTAGCTCGTGCTCAACCTTTCTACAGGAAGACCGTCAGAAAGTCAGAAAGACAGATTATACATAAAACGTTTGCTCTAATTTCAGAAACTGAAGTCACTTAAGTCTGTTGGAATCATTTTAAAATAGTTTGAATGGTAAGAACAAGTCACTTTTTCAGACTGCCAAATACATGAAATACTTAAAAACTGCGTTGGAAAACCTAAATAAAAATCAGAAGCTTATTTTTCACCCGTGTCATCTCCCAAAAATGATACCCTAAGACGTGTCAAAGCTACATTATTAAATGAAGTTGAATGGGGACACATGAGCCCACATACAAAACTTACTTTGTCAGATGCCTCAGAAGCCAAGAGGTTAGTCGCAAGAGTTTGTAGCTTATGATGGGCCATGTTTTTAAGAGCAGCAAGACTGCGTCGTGTCATAGCTTGTTTTAAGTTGACTGCTGGGTGACTAAGTGAGTCAACGGCAGCAGGAGCTGCTTCATCACAAGCATTCAGTATCTCTACTGCTGTGATCCCCATCACACACCGGTCCAGTGCACCTGGAAGACATATGTATTCACAATCATTACACAACTCTGGAAGACTCTTAAGTCATTTTTTAGGAAAGGAAAATGCATGGACATTTTTTAATGTAGGAATATGTTTTATCAGTGCCTCCCAGAAACATTTTCTTGTTTATTTCCTTCCTCTAATGATCTTCCATGTAGCATTACCTTAATCATTTCCTTTTCCGTAAGGCCCTACCACAACTTCCCAATAAACTCAAGTTCAGAGCCAAGATTTCAACAATTTCCTCCAGGCTTTTCTACTTTCCTTCCACTTCCAAGGTGGTCTCCTTGATCACGCCACATCATTAGTCTATTACAAACAGCAGTTTCTATAATTTTACCTTCCTCTAAAACTATATGTCAATCTTATAGAATCGATTCAACACTAGTTGAATTCAACTCTCCACCTACTCTGCACCTTACAATGAAGATGGACATGAATGATGAACATACTAAAAGATCCACTTGAATTTCCTGACCACTGATCTCGGTGGGCCCTTAATAGTGACCACATTTCCGCGGACCTTTTCGTTTTCCTACTCTGCTAGTTCATTATTCCATACTTTCTTTCTCTTCCAATCCCACCATTCCATTTCCTGCCCTCATCTGGATGAAAAGTTTTGTCTCCTATTTCATAGAGAAAGAAGCAATTAAAAAAGTTCCACAAACTCCCACTACCACATCTCCAGTCACATTACTCCATAATTATGAATGAACTATCCAGGCTCCTACCTAACACACCTGTGGCTCACCACCCCATCCCTCTCTTGTCTGCCCAAAGACACCATGTCAACAATTCTCCTCTTTCTCTTCATCAGTTTTCCCTATCTACCAGATCATTCCCATCAGCTTATAAACATGCAATTATTTCACCTGTTTAAAACACACACACACACACACACACACACACACACACACACACACACACGCATGCACACACAGAGTTAACCCAGGTGGGTTAACTAGGTATGTATCCCATTTTTCATAATCATACTCTGAAGAGCTGCCTATATTTGCCACCTCCAAATTTTTCTCCTCCCATCTTCCTTTGAACTAACTCAAATCAGATTTGACACCAAATGTGGAGAGAACCTACTCTCCACATTGCTAAATCTAATAGCCAGTTCTCAGTCCTCATTTTACTAGCATCATTTACTGTCAGCAGCTCTCAATCTTCCTCTCCACTCCTTGAAACACATTTTGTCACTTGGCTTCCAGGCAACCATACCCTTTATTTTCTTCTTTTTCCTGGCAGGTCCATTTTAGTCTCCTTTGCTGGTTTATTTTACATCACAGAAGCACATTTAAACCCTGGAGTGCCCCAACCATTATCAACCTACATTCCCTTGGTGATATATCCAGTGTCATGACTTTACATATCTTCTATATGCTAAGATTTCCCACATTTGTACCACCCACTCTGACTTCCGTCCTTTGAACTACAGACTCATATATACAGTTGACCCTCATATATACAGTTGACTCATATATACAGTTGGCCCTTGAATAACACAAGGATTAGAGGCACCAACCTTCCATGCTGTTGAAAATCCACATGTAACTACATAGTCAGCTCGCCGTATCCACAGTTATACCTGCAGATTCAACCAACTGCAGATCATGTAGTATTGTGGTATTTACTATTGAAAAAATACCCAGGCAGTTCAAACCTGTGTTGTTCAAGCATCAACTGTACAATTTACAAATCAACATCTCTACTTGAATATCTAATATTCAACTCCACTTAATATATCCAAAATCGAATTCCTGATATTCCCAAAATCTACTCCTCCTTCTGGCTTCTCAATATCTTAAAATGAACTGCATCCTTCAAGTTTCTCATGATTGAAACCCTGGAGTCATCTTTGGCCCATCTCATTCTTTTATGCTCCTCATCCAACTATCAGCAAATCCTGTTGGTTCTACCTTCAAAATATACCCATACTTCAACCACTTTTCACCAGCTCCACTGCCATCACTCTAGTCTAATAATCCACCATTGTTTATTGCCTAGGGACAACAGCATACAAGCTAATCTCCCTGCTTCCACCCTAGAACCACCTTTAGGCTATTCAGGAGAAAAGCAGGAAAATATAATCTATAATGAGGGGAAAAATAAAATCAATAAAAACCACTGAAACAGATTTTTTTTAATTAGCAGACAAAACCATTAAAAGTTATTATAATTGTACTCCAGATGTTCAAAAAGTTTGAATAGAGAGACATGGAAGATATCCAAAATCAAACCTGTAGTTTTCAAAGATGAAAACTACAATGTCTGAGATGAAAAATACACTCAATGGGAACAAAAGCATATTAGACATTGTAGAAGAAAAGCTCAGTAAACTTGAAAACATAGACTAGAAATTATAAAGTGAGACACAGAAAAAATAACATTAAATATGAAAAAATAATCCTAGAGTTGTGGGCAATTTCAAGTAGCCTAATAGGCATATAACTGGAGTCTCCAAAGAGAGAAAAGAGGGGGGATATCAAACATCAAAAACATATTTGAATAAATAATGGCCAAAAGCTTCCAAATTTGTTGAGAACTATACACCCACAGACCCAAGAAGTACAACAAACCTTAAGCACAAGAAACATGCGGAAAACTATAACTAAATGGCTCAAAAATAATAATAAAGAGAAAAACTTTTAAAACTCAGAAAAAAACAGACACAGCATATATAGAGGAACAAAGATAAGGATGACAGCAGATTTTTTTACTGGAAATAATACTAGCAAGAGGATAGTGGAATAGTGAAAGGAAAAAAACAAAAAACTGTCCACCTAGAATTCTATACCCAGAAAAAAAAAAATCTTCAAAATGATGGTGAAATAAAAAAATTTTCAGATATACAGAAGCTGAAAGAATCACCCACAGACATGCACTACAAGAAATATTAAATATTAGGCAAAAGGGAAATCATTCCAGATGGAAATCTGGATCTACACAAAGCAATGAAGAGCAACAGAAATGGTAACTACAGGGGAATATATGTAAAATTTTGTTTCTATATTCAAATTTCCTTAAAAGATAATATACTGTTCAAAGAAATAAGCAAATAGAAAGAAATAATGTTCCAAATGAATGAAAACCATGAGCAACAATATGGGTGGTACAAAAGACAAGAAGTGGTAGACAGTGACCCAATTATTCTTGATTAGAACTATTCTTCACACAGAGTAACACGTCTGTGTAAAAGAACAGTAAGAGATAAGACAAAGGTAGGAGTGTACCACATTGTGGAGGGGCTTTTCTTAAAGGCTACGTAAACTAAAATTACTTATGTTTTTTTTTCATTAAGACAGTGGCATGAACCAAGTGTGGTTGTTATTGTTTTACTTCCTATGATTAATTTGCCAACAGAGTACAGAATGGATTAGAAGGTAGAAATAGAGGACAGAGAAACCAATAAAGATAGCCTAGGTGTGAAAAAATATAGCCCGATATAAGAACAGTACACTGGAAAGAAAAAAGGGAGGGGAGGAGTACCTAATGGGAAGGACTTAGTAATTAACTGCACAGAGGACTTATGAGGAGGAAAGTAGAAAAGACAGTCATATTTCCACTCTAACAACCTCTTCCTTCAAAATTTCAAAGTGAATCCAAAGGGAAAAAAAGAAACTGATTATTCTTAATTTTACTGAGATTTTAGGAAAGTACCAATTTTTTCTTAACCATTTCATCCTTTGTGTCTTTGTCTATCTTATCTTATGGTATTTTTGTAAAAGAATGAAAAACAAAAATGTAGAAGATATAGAAAAGTTGATGATGTAATGCCATATGCTGTGAAACAGAAACATAAAATCAAATCTCTACTGTATTAAATCCTGCAGGCAAAAGGTCAAATATGTGAAGAAAATACTTCTACTAAACGCTTTACTAATAAAAAAAGACTGGACTGAAGTACCATCTCCTGATTCTCTTTGGTTATTTTAGTAACAAAACCATCAATATAAATAAGTCAAAATTAATTTTTTTTGATATCCATGCTTTATATATGTTGCTTTATACATGTTGTGCCAGTAGACAAATATACATTAGTTCATATTCTCTGTTATATTTTATTGGATAACTAAGTTTTACAAAATGATTCAAACACATATTTCGTGAAGTTATTGCAAAAACAGGAATATTTCAGAAAACTTGGAGGGACAGAAAATAAATGAAAAGAAAAAAGATAACAGAACAAAGTAAATTGGTTAAGACTTCATACACTAATTTCTAATAATGTTTGGCAATCACTACTGGTGTTTGCATTTGTACAAGAACACCTAATAACTGTCCCTCTAGGAATAGGTATATGATGAATCACTTTTATTATGTAGCAAAGATGATAAAAATGTGCAGATAAGAATGGTGTTAAGTCATATAAGAAGAACGTCTTGTAGCACCAGTCATTACTTTAAAGCATGCCACTGTTTCCCAAACAGACAGGAGTTTGACCTTGTCATAGGCCTGTGAGAACACCACTGCATGCTTACTGGGAACATCAAATGTGAAGAATGGAGAGTTGATCCCTACAGAACATAACTCCATGGAGAAGCAGCCACTATCTAGGTCAGCTGACCCACCTTTAATAAGTTCCTAAATAGGAGTCAAGAGGTCCAGCCAGCCAAATCTTGTTGCTAGTTGTTTGACTAATTTTCTAACTACCCAGAGACGTGAAAGAATAATAATTTCCATGGCCTCTACAACACTATTTAGCACTATTGCATATAATTAAGATGGTACAATAAAAGAACAGAAGACTCTGGACCTCTACCTCTGTAATTAAGTTTTATATTACTAGCTTCAACTTCATGTCATTAGGAAATAAACACTGAAAATAGAAACTACCCATTCGAAGGGAAAAACAACTAAAAGAAAATGCTGCATAAAAGCATAAAGTCAAGACATTTTTAAGTGTTTTTAAGCTAGAAACATCAGTATAATTCAAAATGGCAAACAGAAAACTGCACAAAATGCATGTGTAATTTTAAAGTAATATGGCTTCACTTGTAAAAATACATTCCCAAAACACTAAGTAGAGGGGCAAAGTCTCTTCTCAGAGTTTAAATATATTTCATACATCAAACCTTGGCCAAATCTGATTTATTTTGCTTCATTTTTTATTTATTTAATAAATAAATAATGCCAATACCTTCAGGATGTGCCTTACTGGCTCCTCAGGGACCTTTATATCACTAGCTAAAGCCTGAACAGCAAGAAGGAAAAAGAGTGTACACCTCCTATTATGGTTGAAGTCCAAAATTTATTCTGCTTCTCTATCTTTATCTTGATTTAAGAATGCCATTACTGACTGATCATTTACCAAAATCCTCCTGAAGGTCAGAAGACAATTGTTAAATTGCAGTATTACGTATTGGGCTTAATTATACTAAACTGATTATAAAAATAACATCCTCCAGTACACATACAGTCAGGATCTATTTGTCATTTCCTACCAGGGAAACTACTGAAAAAGTAACTTTGTCTTCCAGTAAGGTCTCATTTATAAATAATTTCATATTCTTTGTAGATGTATTTAAAGTATCTGAAGTAGTTAAGTATCATATATTTAAGCACCTAAGAAATTCAGGAAAATGATACTCTTCCTTTATCATATTAATTTAATGTTTTAAGTCCTACACATGTTTACCATACTCTTGTATTTATAATATATCAATTGTTAATTTAATACGTATAGTATTTTAAAATAGTGTTTTATAACTATCATCACTATAACTTACTTTCTTTAATACTAATTCTCATAGAAAATATTTCTTTGTAAGTAAGGTCATATCCCCAAGCTCAATAAAGTAACAAGGTAAGCATATTTGTTAAATAATAATAAGAAATATACACATATGCAAGTATACACACAAACTTAAAGTAAGCAAACATACATGGATACACATTTACATTTCATCTACTATACACAAGGTAAATATTCTCTCATTTTATTCTCCCAGAAACACTATAAAACGGGAACTATTATTATCTTTATTTTACAGATGAGTAAATTGAGAGACTTGCCATAGATCACAGTGCTATCAAATGGTTGATCTTAAAGATTTTTTTCTTTTTTGATGTGGACCATTTTAAAAGTCTTTATTGAATTTGTCACAATACCGCTTCTGCTTTATGTTTTGGTTCCTCAGCCACGAGGCACGTGGGATCCCAGCTCCCCGACCAGGGATGGAACCCACACCCCCTGCATGGAAGGCGAAGTCTTAACCACTGGCCCAACAGGGAAGGCGCTCAAATGGTTGATCTTAAATTCAAACCAAGGAGTCTGACTCCAGAGCCCAAGACAAACTCTGTATGCAGTTGACCTTGAACAACACAGGTTTGAACTGCGCGGGTCCACATACACACAGATTTTTTTCAACAGTAAATACTACAGTACCACAAAATCCATGGTCATTTGAATCCAAGGATGGGAAATGTCGGATATGGAGGAAACATGGGAATGGAGAACCGCCTTTAAGTTATACACGGTTTTTCAACTATGCAGAAGGTGAGTGCCCTAACCCTCACATTGTTCAAGGGTCATCTGTATTTAGTTTGCAGGGTGGACCAAACCAGCAAACATGAAACAGTGCTGCTCAGCAGACAGGATGAAACAAAAAGGAACACAAAAGTAAGATACAAAATTATACATGTAATATGACAGCAATTCTGTTTTTAAAAATGCACAGAAATGAGGTTAAAGAAAAATATGCCAAAATTCACCACTGAGTAATGGGATTTGAGTTCATCTTTCTTTTCTAACACTTTAGTGTTTTCAAAATTTGACAAAAAAGTAAGAAACTCTTTTACAATCAGACGAGAAAAAGAAATGTTAAACACAAAAGCAAAGAAGTTTGACACTCTTCAAGAACGCTTCCTCTCGTCAAAATTGCCTATGTAATACCAGATAAAACCAGGACTATAAATGAAAGACAGCTGAAGATTATGGCTACTTGCTCCAAAAAGACCTAGGAACACTCCCTCCTGCACCACAGCACAAGCAAAAAAATATATATAGTCCGATTTCAAAAAGGACTATTTAAAAACAAAAATGAAAAAAGCTTCATGAAGAAAAAAATGGTAGAAATATTATATAGCACAATTAGGAATGTAAAGAAAGGTTTTAATCACTGACAGATGATGACTCAGGATAGTAAAACTAGAATAAGCTGTGTTTTTAAAAGCCCAAACTAATAAACATTTAGTTACATACTTTAAAATTTCCCAAGGAAAACCGTAAGATTCTGTGTATAAATCTTATATATCATGGCCTATACCTTTAAGTTAAACATTACTTGTTCTGTATTATGCCACATACATAAAATTTCTGAACCTTGAAATTTTAAATGTTCTCTCTAGAACTTAAAACTTTCATTTCAATTACCTCCTTCTATTAGTGGCCCTGTACGGTTTTTCTGTTCTTCAAATAGAAGATAATTTTATCTTTCTCCACTGTTTCTGAACTTGAGACAAAAATGGTTCCTTGATCTTACAATTTGCCTCATGAATTATATAGAAATCACTTACTTGTCTGGTGTCTGCATGCCTGTCCTAATCTGTATACTGTCATCAACCTCATTCCTCTAAAGATTAGTGAACTACTCTACAAGTGTTCCAGATAGTACAACAAATAAGAGGATATCTAAATATTTCTTTGTTGATAATGATAAGAACACTTATACAAAGCAGTGGTGAGAAATAAAAGTAGCAAACTTTTGACATCTCAGGGGTTTTTTCCTCATATAAAAGATTTTTCATTTAGGAAGTCAAATACACTCATTTAATTTTCTAGTCTCTCTCAACATTTTTCTTACCGGTATCCATTTGCCAGACATACACGGAGCCGTCTGAACATCCCACTACTAGGTAATCGTCAGAAGGCCTCCACTTGATTACTTGAATGGGGAAAAGATGACGAGATGCCAGCATAATGCATTTTTTCTCCCGCAAACTTAGAAGTCCTACTGAGTGGTCACTGGCTACAGAGCAGATGCAGTGCTGCACTCTTGCCTGAAAAGAATAATAAATCTTAATTACACTTAGATTAAATTCAGAAGAAAATGGATCTTGTCCTCAATTAAATCAAAATTAATTATACATTCACTGCTGCTGAAAACACTAACCATGACATTAGGACGTGTTGACAATTTTCTTCTTTTATATTATACATAAAATGCCTAGTTCAATCATCACAACACTTTCAAAAATACTAAATTAACACTAGATTAAAGAAGAGAAAGACGCCTAGGAAAATCTGCTGTTCAAATTTGAAGATGACCTTACTAAAAATAATTGCTATATATGAACAGGCAAAGCTGGAAAAAAATTGATCTGTTATTATGTGTTCCCTTTCCACTGTCTGCACTTCCCTTTGCTGGCAGCTAGAGCTGCTTTCTGCAGTGCTTTCCTTCTGGTTGTGACTCTATCATTTAGACCCATGCTCTTCCCTGCTCCTTTGCTCAAAAACAATACCCTCAAGGTCCCTCTGCCACAATCATTTCTTAAGAGCCACCGATAGTTTGTATTACCTGTAGATGTGTTTCGCAGCTTCTGTCTCTAATGCCAGCAGGCACACCACCTCAGCTAACATACAAGAGCCCAATAAACATCCTGCTCTGTACTTCCTGCTCATCTCTAGTTTGCGCCCTTCCATTCCTTTTTAGAACAAGATGGAATATAATAGAAATAATGAAAGATGGTAAAGATTTTCACTAGCACCAGAGAACTGAATCCATAACCTAGAAAATTAAAAATTAATGTCTTTATAGGTTTGGAAGACAATTTACAAGCAACTTAAAACTTTGTAGTGATTTATTAGATTATGCTTCCAGTTCACACTGAGGTGAAACCATATGAAAACAGCCATCTGAAGCTCCGTATTGTGTATATTGTGGCTATTTACTGAGGATGAGGCCCACAGCACCACATACATATTATCCCTTCTGTGGGATCCAGAGGAGAAACTTCTCAAACGTCACCCAGCTGGGCTTTGCCTAAGCAGATGTTTTTTAGCTAAAGAATGATACCTCTCCTTGATTGGTCCATCTCAATGGGAAATGTTGACAGGTATCCGATGAAAAAGAGTGGGGCGGGGTGGGGGGGGGCATGTGTGTGTGACTACATGTGCATGGAAAACACGTTACAGTTGTTTTTATCCATAAAACTTCTAAGAAACTTTAACATGCTAACATGAACATAATTTCATTTGACCATCATAATCTTTTTTTTTGTAACATCTTTATTGGCATATAATTGCTTTACAATGGTGTGTTAGTTGCTGCTGTATAACAAAGTGTATCAGCTACATATACATATATCCCCATATTTCCTCCCTCTTGCATCTCCCTCCCACCCTCCCTATCCCACCCCTGTTCTATGCGGCTCCTTCCCACTAGCTATCTATGTTACACTTGGTGGTGTATATATGTCCATGCTACTCTCTCACTTCGTCCCAGCTTACCCTTCCCCCTCTCCGTGTCCTCAAGTCCATTCTCTACATCTGCATCTTTATTCCTGTCTAGACCTAGTTTTTGAGGAACAGACTTTGGGGAAAGCTGCTACAATGGATTCCTTCAATGTTTTGGATACTAAGAAACTTAGGACTGAATTTTCTATCCATGACAGTGGGGTGTGTGGGCATACATTTCTGAATGTGGACTCTAGGTGGTCTCGTCTACTTTTTCTTTCATTTTCTCTTCACCATGATTTAGCTTTATTTTTATCTAACTGAATAATGTTTATTTTTGTAAACAACCTAAAATCAATTTTTGAATGAGGCAGAGCATTAATTTTAAAAAAGAGAGTCAGATTTAACTATTTACTTTGTTCTTAAATTCAGGTGCTTTAATCTTTGGTTCTGTTAGCTTTACTTGTACGTTTTCTTTCATAATGATTTAAAAACTATAATCAGCAGAGTAGGTATTTATTAATTTTAAAAGTTAAGAAAACTAAGCTCAGGAAGATCATGTTATAAACTTTTACTAAAACAACATATAGAATTTTCTTAAGCATTTGTTAAGCTTATTTATTTCATGCTCCCTGATAAGCATTCAATGGAAACATAAAACATGATTTCTTTCTTTAAAAAGACATTAAGGACTGAGGAGTAGCTGACTATGGCATGCAAAACTTTGCTTTGTAATTAAGCAATAAGTCAAAATAAAGTGGCAAACTACAAAAATATCATTTAAATATAGGCAATGTTAGAATAAAACGTGGCAGAAATATAACATGATGCCTTTATTTTCAGTTATTATACTTCACACCACATAAAATACTTTTGAGTGGGCTTCTATGGTGGCGCAGTGGTTAAGAATCCGCCTGCCAATGCAGGGGACACGGGTTCAAGCCCTGGTCTGGGAAGATCCCACATGCCGCAGAGCAACTAAGCCCATGCCATGCGCCACAATTACTGAGGCTACACTCTAGAGCCTGAGAGCCACAATTACTGAGCCCGCGTGCCACAACTACTGAAGCCCACGCGCCTAGAGCCTGTGCTCCACAACGAGAAGCCACTGCAATGAGAAGCCTGCACACCTCTACGAAGAGTAGCCCACGCTCGCTGCAACTAGAGAAAGCCCGCGCGCAGCAACAAAGACCCAACACAGCCAAAAATAAATAAATAAAATAAATAAATTAAAATATTTTTGAGTTTCACCAGATGTACATTGCTAAGCAAAGATAATAGACAGTTTAATACAATGGAGGCTTTGCATTTCTACAGATAATCATTAATACTGACTTTGTATTTATCATATATATCCATCACTCAATTTACAAAAAAGGATGATTGCTACGTTAATGGTTAACTATTTTCTATTTTCCAACACCAGTCTGCTAAAAAATCGTCATTTTATTTATTTTTCTCATCAGAGAAATAAATCTAACAGTAATCTTTTTCTCTGTGTATGACTCACTAAAAAGAATGAGTCCTAAACGGCATTC